AAAAATATGTAATACCACAAATAACATTTGAGACATACTTTTTCACTCCAGCCCAGGAAGACTCAAAGCAGTACAGGTGTCTGTCTATTATAGACAGATTACATAGACATCAAGTTGAGCCTCAGACCCCAACAACAGTCATTTAGCACACACCTTTTTAAAGGAGGATTCCTAACAGCAATTCCATAGCAACCTCTTTTTACTCACAGTATGGAACCACAGTAGAACGTGGAGAAGAAAGTAAATGATCTGCATTAATCTGACTGGTTTAAGTATATTTAAGCATATACTTCCCCATCAACTAAATGAAAAAGCCTCAAATATTAATGTAGATAATGAAAGAAGAAAAAATAAGTGCATACATACATCAGAATAAAACCACTTGAGAATGCTCTCTCTCTGTGAACCTCTCTGCTTATTCTAATCTTTCTGGGGCTGATCAGTCAAACTCAAAAGAGAAAAAAATCATAACAAACAAAAAAATGTTTTTCTACAGGAGTTCTTCAGGATTTCTTGTTGAAGAATCTGAATAGCCTATAAACCACTATGAAGTAGATGGGGAGGCTCAAAATTTTGGTATTTGAAGATGATTTGAAGATACTGCCTATCGCTTTTGTGGCAGCAAAACTTAACAAAAGGAAGCAGCCAAGGTGAGAGACATCTCAAAACAACTGGATTCCCCATCAGCTGACCCTTGACTAACAAAGCAAAAGACTACCGTGTGTCTGTTAAGACCTACGGCTGCGAAGACACATCTCTGATGATCCCCTCCAACACATGCCAGCAAATGGCTCATGAGGCACGTGGAAGGTGGAGAATGACATAGCATAAAACCAAGGATAGCAAGACTTCAAGGGAAAGTGTGGGCTTTCATTCAAAGCACTTGTGAAACCTTGGACCTTCTCTGAAGAAAGGAGAGGAGCTGCTTGCCCACCCTCAGCTCAGGCACAGGCAGTGAGTGACAGAGGGCACTGATCTAATTAAAGGCAAACAGCGTAACTCTCTGACCTTGACCTGATCTCACTGCATCTGCTGAATGCAAATACCATTTCACTTCAAAGCTACCTGGGTTTTGTTTTTATAGTAGTACCATCATTACAGTCTTTTAAGAAAAACAAACAAACCAACCAACCCCTAAATATACTGGTGGAAGTCTTCAAATGTCAGTGACAAACCCCTGTTCAGCCTCGTTCAGAAGGTGTATTTCTATGGACTCAATTACACTGAAGTAACTGGTTAAGGGAATTGTAATCACACAGAAAAAGACGAATGCATGTGTTCCTTTGTGCACATACAATACCCACAAGGCTTATGAAACCCATTCACAACCAGAGGAAATAGTCTAAATGTATTTTAAGAGGCTCTGTCAGCAGTCTCACAGCAAGGCTCATGCACATTTGTAAGTCACGAGGAAAAAGCTGTTTTCTGTCCATGCTGTATGAACAGATTTTGTTTGGTCTACAGCTCATATTTGAGTTGCAAGTAAATAAATCATTCTAGCTGAATTAGCTGACAAACCACATGGATGGTACTGAAAATAAATATTTGATTGGGACTGAATTAACCATTTGCAGATCTGTGTTCATGGTTACACGCACTAGAGCTACACATATCAAAACCCAGGATATGTCGGATACTAATTAAATTGTAGTCGAACGTGTTTACCTGAAAAAAAATAAAAAAGAAAAAGATGCAAAGGAAAACCCAAAAGTGCAAGCCAGTCTTGTTCCCTTTTTGCTTTTAGAATTAGTATGAACACAATGACATGTTGACTCTCTCATTCAAAACCAGACTGGACAGGAAGAAAGAGGATAGTGAATCCCAACAAGTTGAAATGTAAATGAATATGTTTTCATGTCTTTACATATACAGTTGTGCCACCCAGGAAAACTGGTATATAAACCTTACTTGAGCTTTATATGAAGTTCCCACCTTATTTGCAGGCTTAGAGAATACAATAGCACAGTGACTAGATTGTTATTAATTAAACAAAGAGATTACTAAGATCTGGGGATCGACACGCTAATCATAACAAAGACATTGTCATTCTACAACATTCTCGAGTGATTTTGCATCAGATGAAGCCCTGTGAGACAGTATCAACAAATGACTGTTTGGCACCACGTGGCACCTAAGTTGAACTGAACAGGATACTTCCAAAACTAAAGCACACACTCTAGTTTAAGGAAAAAACCATGTCGTGCTATAAAACTGCAGCAAATATTTCCACAACTGGCTCCAGCCACATCCCCTTCCCTCCCTTAAGCTATCAGGAACTGTTTCCCAAAGCTCATAGAGGATTGTGATTATTAAATTAAACACCAGACAGTAGAATACAACCTGGATCTCACTCTCCATACTCCCCCTTTAAAGGATGGCAGTGTAAGCATTAACTATTCCATCCTCTGTGGCATTCAAACACGCTTCTCTCCGGTCACACGAAAAGTATGGAAAATACATTCCCTTTGTCAATCTCCCATCACGTTCCTATCTGTGAAAAATAAAGAATTAAGGAGGCTTTATCTTTGCTGCAAATCCTATTAACTGTTCACCTTGTCAGTGATCTATTCCTGTAACATTTTGTAAAACTGTATGGAACAATTTTTCCTATGAGCAGCAGATGAATTAATGACCTGCTGGTTCTTGTTACACCACGTTTAGGACAATTAGAGGTCTTGGCTGAGCATTTGGCTGAAATAAACCTTCCCCTGCACAACGGGCATATTCATAAAACAATTTTGAAGGGAACCAAAGGATTACATTATTCTGTGATCCTTCAGACAATCAGAAACATGGGAACTTGTAGGTGTAGCCGTGAGCAGTTTGGCATAGAACACCCCTTTCACTGTACTGCAAGATTTGACTCATCCATGAGTAGCCTGTAGCTCAACATACAGAGGGGATTTAAAATCAATTCCTATAAATGTGAACATTCAATAAAATAGATAAAATACTAAACAATTGGTTTTAAATGAAACATTAATAGATTTCAAAACAATGAAATACTTAGTGCTTACATTAATGGAATTCTATTTAGAAAATAGTTACTATAACTAGTTAATAGTTATATAATAGAGTTTCCAGTAACTTTCTGCATTAACAGACTCAGTCAGTGCTTACATTAATGAAATTCTATTTAGAAAATAGTTACTATAACTAGTTAATAGTTATATAATAGAGTTTCCAGTAACTTTCTGCATTAAGACTCGCAGAAAACCCACTAACAGAACAGCAGGTTTCCAGAACAGCCTTTTTAAGTTTATCAGGGTGTAACAAACCTGATTCTACACAAGTTCACTTCTGATAACATCACAACAGAATCACTGTGTTCATATGCTTAATCCCAGGAGATCTCAAGTTATTCATGTCCTCCTTGGTGTGTGTGCAGGATTAGAATCTAAGTATGTTTTTTCTCCCCCTCTCCCGTCCTGTCAGTAAATGTGGGATCAGAGTTCAGAACATGCCTGATTTTGCTCTCCTAATCTCTAGTAATCTTCTCAGTGACACAGTATCTGTTGCAGAATATCAGCAGGCCACATCAAAGAGGAACAGTTAGTGGAAACGTTAAGTTACATCCATATTTATCAAAGTAGGCTCCATATGCTGCCAAATGTTAAACCAGTATCTATTCACATGCTCAAGTAGCACTAAGTATTAAGGTGAATGTTACCTTAAAGTCAGTAACTTTCCTCACTCACAAAGCTTACTTAAAAATGGTACAGGTTGTGTAGCCCACGTATGTTGCTACTCTACCTCCTGATGTAAAATTCAAGATAATTCACGACTCTCTGAAAACTAACAGGGTGTTGTACACAAAGGAGGGTTTGTACAAACTGCCATACGGAGTTTTACAGCGTGAAAATTGAACTGGTGAATTCAGCCAACAGAACCCTCTCCAGCAGCTGTAGGGGTGGAGAATAGGAAAGACTGTCATCCTTCTAAGTCACTTGTTTCATCAGGTAGCAGGGAGAGAAGGAAAACAGTAAACTAGTACATTTTGGCAACATGGAATCCAAAACTGGGACTGACACTCTACAAAGGGAGTTCCCAGCTGTAAATCAGATAAATATCTGTCTATGGAAGTTTGATTATTTGCAGTGACTGAAGTAGATATGAAAAAGTTCAAGAAGGTGAAAAAACCTGCAAGGACCAAGACATCATAATGTCAGTTATGAAAATATCTGTCCAAAATCCATTTTCAGCTCAGTATTTGCCCAATACAGGTAATCTGTTCTCATTGTATGTATATTCAAATGCCTGCTACGCGGCTGTTCTGCACTGCCACAAGGCCAGATCTAATTACCATTAAACAAACCAGAAAGACTCTCACTGGCTGCAGTCCTTATTGAAACTATGCTAAAGTTATATTATACATGCTGGAAAAAAAAAAATTTAAAAAAAGTAATCCAGTTATTATTTTGGATTTCCCAGAGTTAATCAATTCACTAGCAGACACGATATTTACAGAAGAAAAACCTTGCCTTTCCTCAGCTTTAATTAAGAAAATACAGAAAAGCCTCACCTTCATGCAATTGGCTCTGCTCTCAAGAGGTCAGCTGCCCACTCAATATCACAGGTTTTAATAAAATATATATTTCATTGAGAGGAAGTGATGTTTCCCAACATCTCTCCTTGTTAGCTGCTTGTTAGGCAATTATATCATACACTGCTTATACAGGCAGGGAATGCTGACGTTCAATTTTGTAAAACTACAATCTTATTTTGGGATATGTTCCTTAAAATTCAAAATAGGACAACAGTTGTTGACAGAGCTTAGCAGGCTGTTCAAGGAAATGTAGCGTAGTAAAACTATGCTGCTTTTTAAATATTTATATCTTTTTAATCCTTGCAGCAGATAATCCTCTTTGCAGTAGGCAGGAATATGAATACCCTTGATTGGTTTTAAGTCCTTGCTTTTCAAAATTAAGATTTGCAATTTTTTTTCTGCCCTAAAATTTTTACTACAAGTATTACTTAAAATTTTGCTTGGATCAATTTACCTTCCGTAAGCAAAGCGCCTGTCTTTGTGGTGGTCCCCAAACGTATCCCACAGCCTGAGAGAAACACTCACTTCATCCACAACATCTCTTGAGCGTTCAAGGACCTGGTTCTTTCCCTCCATCAAACAAGTACATTCCTAATTCACCCCATAAGAAGGTCCAAAGCATACTAGACCAAGAGTCTATCACATACAGTTTTCAGCAAGTGCTGTACTTTATAAAATAGGCAACATATGCACCGTTCTAAAAACAGGCTTGATAAAAGCAGTTACTGTGGAATGAGAGACTCGGGGATATGTGGTTCAGACCATGGCTGCAGTAGAGACCACGCGTGAAATTGTGAGCTTATTGCTGCATCCTGACAAAGACAGGCTTGCCAGTAAGTAACAGTAGAACCCCACAGCACGTGCTCTGTATTTTGTACACCTGCAGTCCTTACCTCTTGGCAGACACGGTACTGATCAATGGCCCAAACAGTTGGTACGTGAGTTGCCAGCAGCTGATACTGAGTCAAGGTTGTATTGCACGCTCTTGCACAAATTAGACGAGTCTTGCCCACTGCATTATCTCCAACCACCACACACTTGATAGTTTCAACGTTGGGTCTTTCGTAGTCCATGTCAGTGTCCATTTATCAAAAACTGTAACAAGACAGTTAAACTTGTTTTCTCCTACTGTGCAAAACCAACGCTATTTAGAATGAGAATTTAGGCTATTCAGAATGCCTTCTACTTCCACTTCTTGAGAGACACCTGAAAAGGACCAACTCTAAAGGAAAACCTTGTAGAAAACTCTATCAAAGCTCGCGAGCCGTTCGTTTAAATACTGCAGAGTTATGCAAATGCATGACTACTCTGACCGCAGTTGGTTTATGCTGTTCACATGCTATTTTCACTTCAGTTTCTGTAAACACAAGCCTGTTTGCAGAAGATAGATCTTGGTGAAACAAGGACAGCTAGCACAAACTTAACCTCTTGCTAATACTTTTTATGCCAAGAAGGAGGAAAGACTGGACATCAGTGGGTTTAACCTGAAGGATTCCAGTATAAACCTGCCTTCTGTAATCTTGCCCATTCAGGATTTGATTTAGGGCTCTCCAAACAATATTGCTAACAGCAAGTCACCCAGATGGTTTTAGTTATATGCACACAATAAAACTGACTTGTAAGATGACTCCAGAGACTCTGTTATCTACAAACCACAACTCCCACTATATCCTGCATGTATCACACACTCTTAATTTTCCAAGGAGAAATTTGTACAGATCATGGACTAAAATGAAACCAAACAGCCCAGCAGGAACTTGCAAATATACTTATCTGGATTTACAAATTCTTTTTTACATGACAATGGAAATTGAACAGAAAACTTCTGAAGCTACTATACTCATGGAAACTTATTATTGAAAATATTTACATAAATATTCTATGGCAACATATTGCACAAATGTCTGGATATGAACGTAAGCTGGAAAAATGGATATTCCAAAAACTAAAACCAATTCCTGCATGTTTACTACAGTCTGTCGTTTTCATACAAAGAAACGTGGGATCAGAGTTTGATATATCTGATGTTGGTTTTCTAATGTCTAGTAGTCTGCTGAGCAATCTGGTCTCTGCCAGGGAATTGTAATTAAGGAGGGAGAAAAGGGAAAATGCAAGGCACAAACATGTTCAGGAAGGCTTGCCTAATAATTATTTCAGCAAGGCAACCTACAGCAATTTAATTGACAAAACACAGGTCATCAGCTGGAGTGATGGCATCCTTTTTCCTGAGAAGAAAGCGCTATAGATAAAGAAACCTAATTATTTAATACCTTTTTTAATATGCACATCTCATTCACACATAAATATAGAATATGGATTCAACTGTCAGGCTGTTTAAAATAATAGATACAAGCTATTTTGATGTCCATTTTTCACTGTCAGAGGCCCTCTGTTCTGACTTAAGAAAAAGCATGTTTAGTAATTATTAGCCAAACACTAATTTTAACTGCATTCTTTCATTACTTGAAGAGATGTAAACCAAGAAACAAAAGTAAGTGTTAGAACTAAACACCCATTTATGTAAAATTTTGGACATGGACTGCATGCTAATAGCTAAAATAGCTAATGTACACTTAAAATCTTTATTTGTGTGGACGGGAGGAGTTAGGGACCACACAGACAGCAAGGTACAAGGGTGAGTTTATGCCACGGCTGTGTCACGCTGATGTTTTCGTGGACACTGAATGCTTCTGGAAATGCTGCAGCACAGACTAGCATGTAAGAATACATTTTAGAGAGTTGTCCCACACTAGCCTAGGCCCAGAAACTGTTCATCCTGTCACAAGTACATGGTTGCACAACTACAGCTTTGCAGCGTACCAAACGTAGAGCAAATAACAGTTTCAAGCCCACATGCACAGTATCTCCTGCTATAAACCCTAATGGCCTTGTGATACCAACCTGCTGTCGGCACAGAGGTTTAGCTGATAAGGAAACAAAGCTATTAAGACATTCCCTTTATCCCTTCATCTGAGTTGTAACCTGCATCCTGAAAGGTTACTAGTCTTGAGGTAAAGGACTACAGAGACTTACAGTTACTTGTCTGCGATCCAACCACAGCTGCTTGTTGGATGCAAGCTCTCAGGAGGCTGTTACCTGGGATGGACCATGGGCTCTGTATCACCTCCATGAGTCCACGTACAAGAACAGAAGTGAGAGCTAACTCCTCTCTGCTCCTCTGCATCTTTTCCAAGAATGCAGTCATGGTATAAATAAAAGTACAAAACCAATTTGTTTTTTCCACATTACAGAGCATGAGACATTATTTGTTCACCACAGACCTGAATGAGTAGCAAAAACCCAAGAGGTTTCAGTATGTGATCTAAAAAAGTTTCAAGCCTGAGAATAAACAGCAATCCCCTCACATAATATGTGGTATTAAATTACTTCATATTTTATTCATGCATGGACTAGACACCACAGATGGAATGTGGAAGTGTTTACAAGGCTGGAAAACAAAATGAAGGAGCGTAGCTAGCCAGTGTGTCTGGCTGGTTTTAAGCTACCACGCAGAGAGATGCCAAACCAATTTTTCTTCCAACCCAATATTCCATTAAAATGCTGTTACACAGATTAGCTGAGGTTTTATATATCAATCTGATTTTTAAATTCTTCAAAAGCTCTTAAATGGTAGTTCTGCAAAAATAAACCTCAGTCGGTCATAAAACTTGTATTGAATACAGACTCTGGAATTTTAAAAAAATTTCCAAGAGGATAACAAAACAAATTTAAAATTAATAGGCAAATCTAAATAAAAGTAACAAGACAAATGAATGCAACTCTCTGAGAATCCTAGAAAAGGAACACACGAAAACAAAATTTAAAAATTAGTGTATTTTAAATTCTGATATACTTCTAACCTAATTAAAGTTATCACAGAACTCAGACACAGCATGCCTGAGTGCCCTGCTGTAGAGCAATGGCACACTAATGACGATATTTTTAGTGTGGCTCAATACTGCACAGGACAGAGATTAAAACAAACTGGGAATAAAAACAAAACTAGAGATTTGCAGCTATGTTAAGGTAAGTTTTCAAATCCACTCCAGTGTACATAGAATATCTATGTATTAAAGAGGCAGATGATTTTTGGTGTTGTTCACTAGCTTTCAGAAAGGGATTAAAACAGAAATAGCTCCTGAAGAGAATGACAGACAGAAGCCTGGATGAATATTTAGACACCTCAAATAAAAACAGATGCCAACAACAAATTATAGTATAAACAATTAGCAAACTGTGTGGATTAAATGCTTATAAATGTAGCCAGAAGCCTCCTGGCTACTGGAATGATTAAAGCTAGGAATATGTACAAGATCTTAAAAATACATCCACTGCCAGTTTTTTTAAGGTAACCTCTAGGTTAAGCTCCTGCTAAACCTATTATATAATCACACTGATTAAAAATGCTTAACATGTATTCACAAAACTTAAATTTAAAAAAAAAAAATCTAGATTTGAACTCTGAAAGTCTGGTAACACCTGGGAAGACACTGGAACTGAAACAAAACTGGTTAGACAAGAGCAAACCAGCATATATAAAACTTAATTAAAAAAAAAAAAAAAGACAGCATGAAATTTCCAGACCAATGAAAAACTTGCTAAAACCAGCCTACAACCTGCAATAGGTTAGTTTACCAACAAAATAAAATAGGGTAAAGTAAAAGGAAAGTTACTGGAAGTGCAAGCAGTCTCAGTGAGTGCCAGAAAAAGCCAGGGAAAGCCAGAAAGGCCATCAAACGAGGAGCAGTGAGTCCTACTTGGTGAAAGATCTGATCAAATACGGCTGTTCCCAAAACCAAGGCTCAGCTGCTTAATCCAGTTCTAAGGAAAGATGAGCAGATGGATGGAAATGAAAAAAGAGATGCCTGCAAGAATAACACAGGATCTCAAAAATCTTAGGATGTTTCTATTTTTACACTGTCACCTATGATTGTTTGCAGATCAACAGGAGACAGAGGCAGCCAAAAATCAGGAGATGTGAGTAGGCTCAATATCTAAGATAAAGCCATTGAATTAATTCACTTGATCAGCAGAAAAGAACTACTCCAAATAAAGCTGGTTTGTTTCCAAAGAAGTATAAGGTTACTGTTCTGAACTATGGCTTCCTGATGGTTACGGTCACTGATTTCTTTCCCTGTTGCTTCACCTCAAATTGCTGTAGGGTGCCTGGGTTTTTGTTTAGTTTTTCCTCCTTGCTGAATGAGTTGTTATTATTATCACTAAAAAGCAGTTGTTGTTGCCATAACATGCAGGTCCTTCTGACTAGTCAGCCTCAGGAATGAAACACTGCCTTTCCAGAAAAATTTTCCGGAAGATCTGTAGATGAAGCATATCACTTCATTATCTAGTCTGTTGGTACACAGATTAAACACAAGAGATGCACACAGTCTCTCTGGGTATTCATGTATTTTGTATTTATATACAAAAGATAACCAGATCCTAACCACGAACTTGTCTTAAGAATGCAGTTTAATATATTTAACCCTGTAATTGCATTTTTCTCTGCTGGAAAGAAAGTGGATGAAGATCCAAACCCAACAGTGAGTTTCCCTGTGCAAGATCAGGAATCCACTCCTATGAATCTTAACTACCTACGCAGTGAACTGCCCATTTGAAATTTTCAGGTATTTTAAATCATCACTCAGCATATAAAAAAAAAAAAACATGATTTTTGTCAAAGAGCAGTAGCTAATTATGAACCTTTTTCAGCAAAACACCACAAACAAATCACTAAGAATGTCTACATTAATCAGTGATTATGGAGTGATCCTGCAGGCATTTACTTCTTAGCTCAGTAATTAAACACGTCCAACAAGACTGACACAGCATCTCTTAGCATGAAAACAAGCAAGCACATTACTTAGCTCTTGTGTTAAGAGCAAACTCTTCAGCTGAAGGTTTGAAGTGACAGCATCTAAGAACCTTGCCTGCTCAGTAAAGACTTTCTTTAAGGCATTCCACGGGGGGGGGGGGGAAAAAAACCCACCACCAAAAAACCAACCAACAACTTACAACCTGTCTCAACTCATCTGACCAGACATGCAAACCAGGAAGTCTTTCAAACAGGTTACCAACCACAACTGCA